CCCCCCCCCCCCCCCCCCCCCCCCCCCCCTCCGCCCCCCCCCCCCCCGCCCCCCCCCCCCCCCCCCCCCCCCCCCCGTGTGACTCTGCACACCACCCTGTCCCCTTCACCTGGACCCCCTGGTGTGGTGAGGCCAGAGACCTAGTAGATGGCCCGGTGGGCAGTGCACATGTCCCTGAGGAAGGCGGCAGGCTTCCGGGAAGAGGCCTGGACCCGGCATGCCTCCCTGCGTGCCGACACCCGACCCCGTGGAGGCCAAGTGGCCCTGAGCAGCCTGCGCAGAGCCCGTCTCCAGCAGGACGCGTGCCCGTCTTCGGCTTGCTGCCAGCACGGGTCGTGGTCGTTGGGGTCCCTGTGTTTCGACCTGTCGTAGAGGGCCCAGCCGAGCCATCTGATGTACTAACCCTCGTGGTCGTCGTGTCTTTGCTGCAGGGAATCGTGGGGAACTTGGCCAGCGGCAAGTCCGCCCTCGTGCACAGGTACCTGACCGGCACATACGTCCAGGAGGAGTCTCCGGAAGGTATGCCGTTGGGCGGGTGGTGAGTTACAGGCTTTAGGGAGTTCAGGCTTTTGAGGTTTTTCTTTAGCGTATTCTAGATCATTGCTTTGACCTATCACACGCCAAGAAACACCACGCGGTAAAGATCCTCCTCCCGTAGGGATTGAGGGCCGGTTACGCTCACTCCGGCGTCGGGAGCACTGGAGTAGAACCGTGAGAAGCTGCTGAACGTGTTTCCTGTAACGGTCCTGTCCTTGGAGGCGCTAGTCCAGTGCTCCTTCTTTAAATACGGGCTGGACGTGGTCCGCTCTGGGGGTTGAGTCCATGCCGACTCTGACCTAGTGCTGCTCAGCCTCACCGCCACCTTCTCTAGATGAGTCCTCCAGGCCCCCCCGACCCCGCGCTGGAGCAGGCGTCTCCCCGCATAGTGCTGACATTACAGACGCCTACGGCCATTGCCCACTGAGGGAGGTATTCCTCCTGCCATTAGATGTTTCCTTCTTCTGTTAACATGTCCACGTATTATCCTTTGCTTTAAATGACAATGACAAAGGCAGGAGCCCTTTAGCGCCCCGTCAGGCGTAGTGTGCAGGCAGTTTTGTAAGTTGTGTGTTTTCTCTCCATGTGACTTTGACTCCACCTCTGAGACACTGAATTTCTGGTTCCTTCTCTCTCTCACGGCTGTTCCATTCTTTGCAGATATGGATGCAGGTAACTACCGTCTCCTCCATGGCGGCTTGTCTTGTGGGGAGCGCGAGGAGAGCCCGACTGTGCTGTAGCGTTCCCTCCCTCCTCGTCCTGTGTTCCATCCTGTTTCGTTTCATTTCACCTTTTTTTTTTTAGTTCGGCATTCCACCCTGTGCTGTCCCCTAGCTGTGTTTTGAGCACTAGTTGTCAGTAGCGTCACGTGTCCCCTGTAACACTTGTGCTGGCCTTAACTCTCCTCCCGGGGCCTGCGCAACCTTCAGGGCCAGACTCCCCTGGGGCTTCGCCTGGGTCTCCGCGGCCTGGGGCAGGACTTGGTGGTGCTGTGACACCTCTCGGTGGTCCTCAGGAAGGCTGCCCTGAAAACCTCCCTGCTAAACGATGACCTGGGAAGGTCAGAGGCTCAGAGAGGGCTTGTGCGCTGGAGCACAGGAGAAAAGACTGTTAGCCCAGGGGAGAGAGCAGGCGCTCGAACACGCCTGGCCCAGACAGCAGGAAGGGGGGTGCTCCCACGGTGTCTTCCTCCTTCCTGGGTGCCCCTGGGGCCCAGGGTTTGACTTGTCCCTTTGTGTCTAGGGTGAGCGGTAGCCATCGCCGGGTAGCTTACACAGAGGAGAGCTGTGTAGAGCTTGTGTCTGGGCTTTCCACTTCTCGGGCTTGCGGTCGTAGCGTTCATGGAGCCAGGTGCTGAGGGTCTGTGGCTGGCTTGACCATGGGGAAGCGGGGTGCAC